GTTAGTCATCCTCTCAGTGTTAACTCTAGTATTCCAGGAAAGATTATAACTACAGTTGGCAAATAGCATTATATCCTATTCACAGCATAATTTCTTAGTGAGCTATTTGGTTTCACATTGTTATTGGAATGGAAATGCAAAGAACTAAAGTAAAGCTGCAAATTGATTTCCATGGTTTAAAAAGAGGGGAAAAGCATTAATGCATATATCTTTTTCTAATCTTGCAGCATCTGTTACTGTCCTCTTTTAAAAGCTCCATTTTTTCCATGTAGATTAAAGATGATTACAATTACTGCGGTATAGTGTTTAGATGGGCGACTGGGCTCTTTTCCCATCTGCACTGGTGCTTTTTAATTTGAATCTGTTGAAAATCAAAAGATCTTTTGAAAGCTTCATTGATTTAATTGAAAAAGACTTTGCTATGTGTAATTTAGAAATACACGCACAATACAACATAACAGGTTTAAATACATTTTTACAAAACAAAGTGGTTTAAACAATTTTGGAAGCAGCTAAATGGATTCAATTACCAAAGTGAGATGAGCTTGAATAAATCCAGAGCAAGTGTTTCCATGTGCAAAAGTGCTCACGAGCCTGTGTCTGCTTTTGGCAAACTAACTCCCAAGGCTGGATTGGGTGACTTAATCAGGTTTGTCAGAGGCAGGACAGCGTGTAGGGGGTCTCATTGCTCTTGGGGAGGGGTTTAGGTACCAAACACAAGGAAGGGCTAATTGGAACACAGCGCATCATGCATGCATCTCCAAGGAGACAGCTGGCTCCTCGACCACCAAGACGGGAACATCGCTTCTAGGTCAATTGTGTTTTTTTCTCTAGTCAGGGGACTTTTTTATTTAAGGTGAGATGAGAGGTTTGTGTGCTTATTTTTCAAGGGTAAATGTATATGGACTTGCGGATTGTTTTTATGGTGCTTTTATTCATGACATTTTTGGAGCTTGACAGTATTGGTTGTAATTTGCATTTGTTGCAAAAGAGCAGCGTGAACATTTCTGTAATACCTTCACAGAAGTCAGTTATACAGGTTTAAAATAGAGCCCGACCGATAAAGGATTTTGAAGGCTGATACCGATACAAATATTTTTGGGTTTTAAAATCTGATATTCCGATATATCGGCCGATATTTTTATTTATTTTTTATTTTTTTCAGAAACGCGCAACAAAACATTAACAGATTTCCCTAACATAGTTTTTTGTAGTTATTTATGAGTTTTAACTAAAATAATATGATAAAGCATTTTAAGAAGAAACTTGTTTCTTTTATTGTCACAACAGAACAGAGGAACATCAAAAATATATTAAAGTTCTGATAAATAAATTAATAATTAGTCCCTACATTGCCTTATAAGCTACCTTATAATTACAATGTCAGCTTGCTTATTCCTTTACCTGCACTTTTTAAATTCTTTCCATCAAGCTACATCACACCATTTTCAATCATCAGTTTCTGCCTGCCTTCTAAAACCTACTATTTTGCGATTTTACCGATTTCGTCCGTTTTTATTTTATTTTTGAAATATTAATTTATCGGCCATTATAACTGCCGATACCATTATTTTGGAAAATGCCTAATATCGGCCGATAATATCGGCCGGCCGATATATCGGTCTGGCGAAACCAATAGGAGGGTGAGGAAATGATCTTTAAAGTGTATTATTCATTTAATTAGTGATGCACCAAGCATTTTTGACAATCAAAAAATTTGGCCAAAAGTAAATAAAAGGTTTGGAGAGCCGATGTCATTGGCCAAAATGGTGATGTTTAATTGGCTCTTCCCCAATGACGCATTTTAACCTTGTCAGTGTGTACTCTGTGCAAGCATCTTAGATAAGCTAGAAAAGTTAACATAGGGCTGAAATCGCATACTTCCCTTCTATATAGTAGGCAAAAAACAGTATGTGACAACACAATTATGTCCAAATTAGGTCCAAAGTACCCAGATGTGGCCTAGGGCTCAATATGATTTCTTGTTTTTAATTGATATTAATTTTGATGAACCAAGATCTTTTAGTCTAATTTGTTTTCGGTTGATGCCTGGCACCCAATAATCACATTTACCTTTGTATTTTGTTCATTTTTGATATGAAACAAAGTCTGAGCTTTCAAATTGAAACTGTTATGTGTTATCGCTCTTTAATGTGGTGTGAAAGATCGTTGTAGTGCCTCGGTTCAAGCAGCAGCACAGAGCGCACATAAACTGTTCCATCTCTTCAGCTTTACTACTAGTTAAAGCATGAAATAAACATGAATTAACATCAGAAGGTATTTTGAAAGAAATCGTACAGCTTACTGAAATGTATGTTTCATGTAATGTCTCAGTCAGTGTTTCAACAACGAAAAGATGTCAATATTAAACGAATATCACACAACATTGAACATTTACCTTAGGAAAGCCAGTCAATGTCCATAACTTGTTAGTTGGCTAAACAATGTCTCTAGAAAAGAGCATGTTGCTAAATATGTGTAATATATTACGCATTCATTATTTAATTGGAGTATAAACATAATTGTACCATTAAAAAGTTTATATGAAATTTGAAATGCTGATATAAAACTTGTTTTCGTCTGAATGAAACTTTGATTTCAGTTTGGTTGCATCATTACACTTTTAATAGGGAACATCTGAACACGTTGCACACTGTATTGAAAGTGGAGCTGCCATTCATTTATCACTGTAAAGGCCCCAGGAGGACACTGTTTAATTTTAGATGTGCTCATTTTCTGGAAAAATGTGTGGCTCTCTTTCTTCCTCCTCGTTTGTCTCTCCTTCTCTTGTGCTGGTCTCAAAGACCCTGACCAATTTTACCAGTCAGTCTAAAAAGCGATGGTTTTATGTACCCGAACAGAACACGCATGAATCTAGGCCAGACCCAGCATTTTTCATTGACCAGCTCTCCACTGATCTCTATTCATAGCACGAGGGAACCCAGAGCCACCTCAACAGCTGTGAGAGCAGGGCCGTCCGGCCCTTAGGAGCCCACAATGGGTGGAACCGACATATGCTCCTTCTTGTTCACTAACATGAGCCAATTTAGCCATCCTGGACCTTTAATGGGAAACGAGATGTTAGGCAGTCCTTGAGTTTGCCACCCAGCTGCTATTGCTTGAGAAACAACAGAACATGCTCCTTGAAATATTGTGAGAGGATGAGCAGATACGGGAAATGAGAGTAGCCGGCCCATGCTATAATCAGCAGCCTTTGTGCTCGTTTCCTTTTTTTTATTCCTTTAAAATGTGTCATTGTGATAATTAGCACACTGATCATTAGAGCTATTTGTGAGTTGCACTCATCAGTTTCCGGGAATGTCATTCTGCCCATGGAGATAGTCATAATCTAAGTATGTTGTTTTTCCACTTGATGGGTTGTTTTTTTAATTTTGTTGCATGGCACTATGAGTCAGTGACAGTGTCAACTTTGTTTATGTGGGCCGCACATGTATCACAGGGGATCATTTGAAAAGACAAAGACATTACACACAGAAGTGGATTGCTTTTATGATACATTATTTGTGAATGCCCAGCTGAGTGCAATATAATAAAAAAAAAAGTGTATATATATATACATATGTTATATTAGTGTATAGTGTATATATATATATATATATACATATGTTATATTTTTATTGTTTTTTATTTATATATTTATTTTGTATTTGTTACATTTTTATTGTTTATATATATATATATATATGTAACAAATATACAATATATATATATATATATATATATATATATATATATACATAAACAATAAAAATATAACAAATATACAATAAATATATATATATATATATATATATATATATATATATATATATATTGTATATTTGTTACATTTTTTATTGTTTATATATATATATATATTTATTTTTATATATTTGTCACATTTTTATTGTTTATTTATATATATATATATATATATATATATATATATATATTTCATTTTTTATATTTTTCGTTATCCTTTTTTATATATTCATTTGTTATATATTTTGTTGTATATTTATTGGTTTATATATATAATTTATTTATTTTTTTGTATTTGTTACATTTTTATTGTGTGTGTGTGTGTGTATATATATATATATATATATATATATATATATTTCTTATATATTTGTTACATTTTATTGTTTTATATATATATTTATTTTTTAGATATTTGTTACATTTTTATTGTTTATATATATATATATATATATATATATATATATATATATTTCTTATATATTTGTTACATTTTATTGTTTTTTATATATATTTATTTTTTAGATATTTGTTACATTTTTATTGTTTATATATATATATATATATATATATATATTTTTTTTTTTTGTTGTTGTTACTTTTTTGTTTTTTATATATATTCATTTTATATATTTCTTAAATTTTTATTGTTTTTTATTTTATTTTTAGGGCTTGATTTCCACTTATTTTCATTACTGTAATGCAGAAACAAAGAAGACATTTTTATAAATCATGGTTTTAATCAGTATTCAATAATTAAGCTAGTTTTATTCTGATTTAAATGGGGAAAAAGTTGGGTCAGGATGATTTTCATTACTGTATTAAAGGAATTTGTCTCAAATTCTTTATAACAGTAAAGAGAATTATGAATGAAAATTTGTCCCATAAAAGTCATTACTGTACAAAAAGATAATAATAGTAGAAAAATAGGTTTCAACATGTTTATGGAAGTAAAATTTTTTTCATTTTCTTTTACAGACATACATATGCATCATAAAAATTTCTTCCTATCACCTAATGACCACACAGCTTATTTTTACAGATTATGTGTCTTCTAAAGACGACTAAATCATTGCTTTATCTCAAGCAATCAGTGGGTCTCCATATTTCCTGTTATTGTCAGGCATTTTCAGATAAGCTGAGGCAGGAGTCTGTTTCCTCCTCACGTCTTCAGTTGTGTTGCGTCTTTGAAATTTGCCGCCTTTTCGTGCAACCGTGGCCCAGCAGTTTCCTCTTCTCATGATGAACGCCTACTTCCTCCGTCTCTTTCACCTCTTTTTCTTTATCTCTGTCTTTCTCGCTGGTTAAGACAAAGTTTAAGTTAAGTCGTGCGATACATACAGACATGGTCTTTATTTTGAAGTCTTTTGTTTAATGATGCTTCTCGGTGCGGAGACAGCATACTGTACTGCTGAAGAATAATCGGCTTAAAGAGCTGGAAACATTGACTTGTTCGACCAGCTTCTTGTTGCGGGGGTTTCCGGGTAAGTTTCTTTATGATTTCGGATGAATCCGGGCCGCTTAGGGTGTGGCTTTGGCCACTGGGGTCAGCTCTGCGACCCCTAATATATCACTATCTATCTGTGAATTGGGCTGCATTTTTCTTTTTGAAAATCTAAATGCATTGTTGAAACTTTTCGTTTGGTCGGTTTGCTTCGTTGAGGTGTCTCCTTCCTGCAGACAAGGCAATCAGCCGGCTTAGACACTTAGAATGTGCTTTTAAATGATGTATAAGTTAGATTTGATTCGAGATGTTTTTGACCTGTGGAATGACTTTATCCACGCTGTGCTCAGCGTTGTGTACTTGGTGCATTCATATTTTTAGTACAAACAAACCTAATTTTTTGTGAGTGAATGTTTGTATTAACATTAATCACAATTTCACTTGGAATTTTTTTTTTTTTTTTTACTATGCAGTGTATTTTCCTTTGGTATAGTGAGATGTAAATGCGAGGAGTTGGAGATGTGGAAACTGTTGCTTAGCTGTGACAGGATATCCTGGTTACTGAATGAGACTTAAGAGGACCTGCAGTCAGAGGACTTGTTTTTGACACTATAGACGCCCGCTGTGACTCAAACTGGAAGATAAGAGCACAGATTCTGTCTACCCTAAAACTAAATCTTTCTCTTTATTTCACTTTTTAACAGATCATTGTTTGAATTTAGGAGAGGAATGGTTAGTTTGCGTAAGGTGTTTGATTGTAACTTAAAATGCCTGTTTTATGTCAAAACATCATTCTTTGCTGATGTTCATCTCTCATTGTTTCCCAAACAGAGATTATAAAAGCACCACTGTACTAACATATTGTTTTAGACATTGATACCATGGTCCTGAATGATTATAATCATAATCATGCCCAAAACCATGGTTATACCATAATTCAAAGTATAATTCTATTACCATGTAATACCTTCACTGTAGTATTTTTGTAAGGGCATTGGAAAAAAACTAATACATACGGCCATAAACACTTGAAACATTACTTGTCTTATTGCTTTATTTATTCTGTCTTGTATTGCTTTATTGCTTGCATTATTTAGCCGGGCAGCAAAAACAGTTTTTTTTTTTTAACCCAACTCAAATTTTTTTAAAAAAATATATACTTTTAGAGTTACTTTAATACTGGCAAAAATAAAGAATATGATATCCAGTGATTTACAAATACATGATGTGAATTCTGAATTTGTTTTCATTCATTCATTCATTTCATACTTTATTATTATTATTATTATTAGTAATTATAATAGTTTGTTTTTCACTCTAAAAAATAGTGGGTTGTTTTAACCCAATTTTGGGTCAAATGTGGACAAACCCAGCCTTTGTGTTACATTTTTTTAAATGACATTTTTAACCCAATGTTTGAGTTTGTCCATACAGTATTTGACCCAAAATTGAGTTAAAACAATCCAGCATTTTTTTAGAGTGTATCTATTAATATTTTATTATTATTATGATTTGTCATTTATTACTACTACTACTTATAATAATAAAAATAAAATAAATAAAAAAACCAGATTTCCACTTATTTTCATTACTGTAATGAAAATGATATCCAGTGATTTACAAATACATGATGTGAATTCTGAATTAGTTTTCATACATTCATTTCATATTTTATTATTATTATTATTATACTACTACTTATAGTATAAAAATAAATAAAAACTATTATACTACTACTTAAAAATAAAAAAAATCTTTTATTATATTTCATCTTATTTTATGTCTCAAGTCTAAATATATATATATATATATATATATATATTTATTTTTAGGACCAGATTTTGTGTCTTGTGTCTCAAGTTTTTTTAATTTTGTGTCTCAAGTCTGAATGGTCAGATCTGAGTAGTTTTGGTCTTTCAGGATATGACACGTATGTAACAATGTGTGCAGTGTTGTCTGAAGCTGTGTCTGAATACACTCATTTTCACTCGCACTTTCCTCATTTGAATAGTGAACGAGTCAATGGTTTTGCACAATACATTCATGAATGTGTAAAATGCCTGTTGCGTATGTCCGTCATACTCTTTTGAGTTCAGCGCTGAGGCGAGGTGTCATGTTAGATGAGAGCAGAGTCCAAGTCTGCGATTTCCCATTTTCACCTTCCACTGACATCTCCACTCAGAATGTCTCTTGACATCATGCTGATATTTACATCATTACCATAGCAACCAGTGCAAAATACGCCAGATATTGACGGGATGTGTCTTATGGACCCACAGTTTTGTTTCTTCAGTCTCCACAAAGGTTTTGTATAACATGGCACAGGTCAGACCTGCAGGGTAGAAACGAGAGCCGACTGGCCCAGTGAAAGAGGGCGAACGTGAGCAGCAATAACTCAGTAGCTGTCTCGCGTGTCTTTGTTTCTCCGCACAGTTAAAGCTCCTTTGTAGCCCCTGACGGTGTGGGCCCTCTGTGCTCTGGGACCCTTTGTAGAGGTGTCGGATGAATCACTGGAGGGCTCTTTTGAAATCTATACAGGACGAAGGCAATCCAGCCAAGGGAAACCTGGTGAAAGTGTGAACTTCTGAGCATTCTTTCACTTTCTTCTCACAACTGACACATTGCAGCTGTTCAGATTGGTAATGTTGCTCTCTCTATAGGAGTCAGGTGTTAACATTTAAACAGCACTGGGCATAGCGCACTGACAACCACATGCTGTACTGTCCATGATACTCGGCAGCTAATAAAGGTAGTCTTTGTTTGACCTCAAGGATGAACATGCTGTTTTAGTTGGATCATGTACTAGTGTTTTCTTGTGGGCCACATGTTACATTACTGATAATTTTTCAGTTCAGTTAGATCTTTACATAATGTCTGAGTACTACTATGACGCATCAAGTCCCTTGGTTTGTAATTACGTTTTAGAGTGGCCTGCAATTACTGCAGTTATTGTTAGAATTTGTCCCAAAGGCCCTGTTTCCACCAGGTGTAAATGGAGTCTAAAACGTTTTGAGCTTGTCCACCCTTTGACCACTTCCAGAGGTAGTCAGAAACGCATTCGCCCGGATTGCTTTCATAGTGTAGACGCTAGGGATGTCAACGATTAATCGACGATCGATTAATTTTTCGGTAATACATTTATTCGATAAAACGTATCGATCATCGATTAATCAGGATCATGCGCGTGCGTTCTGCTCTACCGCGAAACATGTAAGCGAGCACTCCGGTGTGGTGAAGTGTTGAGTCCTACACACCGGAGTTGTTTGGGACTATTTTACACCTTCATCATGACTGTCTATAAGACCCAATTTACACCTGGTATTAAAAAAGCGATCTGAATCCAGATAAGTTATCCAGATAATAAGTACCGATTCCATTTACACCTGGCCACATAAATGTGTTTTTTGCAAAACGGATATAAATCCGAACTTAAAATCCCGCGTTATGCAGATTTAATGGATTGCACGCCACCAAAAGCAACGAGCTGCATTTCGTTGATCATCAGCTAATTTCCAAATCAAAGACATCAATAAGAGAGTGGCAACAGCGCTGGTAAGATAATTTTGTTTCTTTACTTGAAGATGATTGTGTGTTAAGCGTCTGTGACTTACTTTCACTTTTATTTGCGATGTTTGCACGTTGGCTCGATGAATAGACGCTCAGCTGCTCATCTGCGGTGATGCGTGTCTCAGTAGCGTCGTCATATCTGACTATTACATGACATATTGCCTATATAACAAGCTCTCACTCGTTTATTTTTTTGCATTTTTTGGGAGGAGTAACATACATATGTGGTTTCAACAACCAGATTGCGTTTACACCTAGTAAAGATCCGGACACAATGAGAGCCAGACTACCTCCAGATGTGGTCAGGCAGATCCGATCACGATCCGATCACAACGCATTTACACCTTGCATTAACATGCGTTTTTTTTATTATCAGGATAACTTATCTGGATACAGATCGCATTTTAATACCAGGTGTAAATGGGGTCTAAGTCTGCGAGTCCATTCGCAGCCTTTTGTTTTGTGCGAATGTAAGTTGTAATAGTTTATTTTGTGTACGCCTATCTATATCTGATTTATCTCACATTGGAAGCATTTGGTTGAGAATGGGCTAGATGCACGGCGGTATTTCCGGTGAAGGTTTAAGTATACTCGATAACTTCCGCCGATCGTAGAGTCCAATGCAATACCGAGAATTTATATTGAATTTTATAGACCCCTTTTGTGCCGACGTCACAGTTACGTCACGGCGCTAGCTCGGCAGAACTGCGGATCGTACACACAAGTCTTGTACAGGACCATATAGGCATCTAAAGATTTATATGCCCTCAGTTTCTCTTTACGATCGGTTTCTCTGTAAGTGTAGAAGTCAGGCCACTCAACCGAGGTAACGTACGTTAATCCTGTCAGATCGTCCATGCATTGAGTGAGCGTGTAGGCGGCTACGGGTCGGCCAATCTGGTTCCGTCCGTTAAAAATAACTTTTGAAAATAACAATCGCGGTCCTGGACACTGAGTGACCTTACACATTAAGATAATATCGGATTTTCTCCAGTCATTGTTAAAAAACAAGCTAACAATCCTTGCTAACTAGCGTTAGTGAAGCGGCCAGATGGATCTTTCTGCCTCCACCTAAGCTCCGCCCACAAAAAAACGTCACCATGTTTACCAACTGTAAAAGGGTCTATACTCCATGGTTATACTAAAGAAACGTCAGTCACAAAAACAGATAAAACAGACACCCCTCGTTGTGCTTATGCTTCTTTTTAAATTTAGATTAAATAAACATAACTATTTTAACTAAAATTACATCTAAACGTATGAAAGTTTCGTTTCAAAGACGAGAGGACAGTCAATTTTGAAGACTCTGTCATAATCCCGTTTTCCTCGGTTTACCTCAGGTTTTATCTCCGCAACCAGAAACTGACTAGCATCCTTGCGTCAAATGTGGAACTTGTGCGCGCATATAGCCCATTGACGTGATCTTTAGCACGCTCAGCTCAAATGACAACGCACATCTAATAATGACTATTGTGACTGTCATACTACACAAGATTATAAAGAGAACAATATTGTTATAAAACATTGTGAATTTTTTGGGTTTAGATGCCATGTCGCGTTGTTCCAGGAAGAGCGCGTCCACCACAACATGAATCATTCTGAATGGCACGTAACTTAGTTTAAGTTCACTTGTCCATTCATGTCATTTTATGCAGATATAATTTTGGAATATTATGTTTTTGCATATATCTGATTAATATCAAATAGGAAACATTTCTTTGAGTTAAATAAACGCTATCAAAGTGCTCAACGGTTATTCATTCAGCACGCACCGCTCAAGCAGAACGCACGACTAATAACGATGGTTAATTTGTGACTGTCATACATGAGAACACTATTTTACTAAACGGTTGTGAATTTATTGGGTTTAGTTGCCGTTTTCAGTGCGTTGTTCCGGCATGTCCACAACAGTCACGCATCTGAGTCGCCGTTGGTGACGTATTTGTCGTTATATTTCTATATCAATTAATTTAATTTATCAATCGCATCAAAACATTTTATAATCCTACTAACCCTTTATTTAGATTAAAAACCATTCTTATTAATTTGGTGAGGAACATAGCTTTTTGAACCCTGTAATGCGGTTTGCCATTAATGCTAACGTTTAATTCATCGTTAATTTAAACGACGATTGATCATGGGAATTTGTGAAAATTGACATCCCTAGTAGATGCTCATGTGTTGGAATGCGTTCGAACGGCCACAAAGACTCCAATGACTTAATGCGTAAAGTATTGCCATTGGTATTCCAAACGCATCCAAAGTCATGGTATTGCCATGTTCCATGGTATTATCTTGAATTGATGTACTATTTCATAAAGAAATGTAATGTGTAAAGTGTTCCTCGACTTCACGTTTAACCACAGTGAAGTTTGGATGTTTCGCGGAAACTGTTGATTGATTAATTCAGCTGGTTTTCCAGAAGGAATTGGAATAGAAGAGCAGGCGATGCTGTGTGTGTCCCTGCCCCCCATCAGAGAGACGGAGGCCTCTCAGGCCTGCCTGTTTAACTGACTGGTCTATTAAGCCCTCTGAAGAAATCAAATCCCTTCTGCCAAGTCTGTTTTCTCCCTGGTTTCTTTCATCAGCATTATTGTGTTGGTTTAAGAAAACATGTCTATCAAAAATGTAAATTTGTTTCACATCAATTAGGCTTTTGTTTTGTTGAACTTTTTGATAGACAAGAAATGTGAATGTTTTTAGCCTTACATGGCTGTTGCTTGTGTTGTAAAATAGGTAAAAAAAAAAAAAGATATATATCTTATAAGAGATACTTCGTAAAGCACTTACACCCTATTTTGGTATAGAAGTAATATTATCATTCGTTATTTCATTCTCATATGTTAAATTTTTTATATTTATTTTATTTTATTTATTTTTTTTTGCCACTGTGAAACAAAATAATATATACTCATGCCAAGCAAACCAGGACTAAATGTATAATTTTCTCTGAATAATCGCTGCAAGCAATTCAAATGTTTAATCGAATTAATTACACGACGTGCTGATTGATTAATCTAATTATTTTCAAATTAATCACACATCAAATTTTAGATGAGAAATTACCCCCAAACTATAAAGTCATTATTGTGTTAAATGACACGAGCATTAAAAAGACATTACAAAAAGGAGCTTTAGAGAGAAAATTTAGTTTGAGTTAGTTTGATTCAACATCAAATTTACATAAATTACACAAACTTTTATAGGTTATAATTGGCATGATTTTGTTCTTCAAAATATTGTTGTTCTGCAAAAGGTTTGAAACATGAGGGTGAAAATAAATTAATAAATATATTTCGGGCAAACCATCCCAAAATATGATTTTTTTTTAATGAAATTATAGTCTAAATAGGATACTAAAACTTGCAGTAGGTGGCAGTAAATGTCTAAATGCATAAGTTATCGAGTCATTCGTTCATTCGATTTGTTCAAACGGTAGATTAATTCAGGAATGAACTAAATAGGTGTGTTCGACTTGAAGTGGCGCTGTGCAGACCGATCGGTGAATGACATCAAAGTATCATGAGAGCAATTGCAGAACAGTCTGCTTTCGTGATGATTCTCGCTGTACTTTAGACCACGAAATACTAAAGAACTTAAGCAGTGTTCCTTCTAATGAGAGGAAACAGAGTATTCTGTTCTTTTTATGGGCTATCATGTCCTGTCTTTGGTCCGTGTTACGTTCATATTTCAGTCGAACTGCACCAGAGTTGGTTTTGAAACAAAAGGGTGGGTCTCAGTCCGCTTGTTTGGCTCACACCAGAGGTCAGATGGCAACATTTACACTTATTAAAATGTACCGCACTAACAGACCAATCACGCCAGCATTCGTTTTAATCTAACCAAACCTGCCATGTGTGAACACACCCTATTCATCTTTAGTATATGCACGCTACCAGTGGGAAATAAAGAGTAGTTTCTTATTGTGCTCTTGCCTAGACTCATTAAATGTAGCCTCTGTTTCTCTTAACTTATGTTTACAGTGTCTCAAATCATACAAGAGCAATAGATTAAAAATTAAACTCAGTTTCAAACAGGAGTAGAGCTAGTCTGTCCATTTGAACAACAGCTGAGAGCTTTACAGAAAACCTTGTTATGAGATTTATTGACTTCTGTCAAATGAAATCATGCCATCTGTAATGGGGAAACTTCTTAGAAGGAATGAAACCTTTCCAAGCGAACCACCCTGGAGAGATGCAACTTCTGATGGAACAGCTGCCATAGCAACAGAGCCTGGGTAGTGTCTGTGGAGATTATTATGGGATGAGTCATGGCAGAGTGACATGGCAGCTTGTTTGAATGGGTTGAATGAATGCTTGTTTCACAGGCTGCGTGTGTTCTTGTTTTCTCTCCAAGAATCATCCCCATCCATTATGGAAGGGGGGATTAATAATGTAACTGGGTTTATCCACAAGGACCAAAGTTGATCCGCACTGTCCCGAGTGTCAGGAGTACTAAATAATTTACAAATTGCTTTAGCGGATGTCACTTTCTCTTTATCGACTCGGCTAACCTTTTCTTGGAGAGGGTATACGGTTTTATTGCACCTTTTATGAGACTTCAGATAATGATTTATCTTTAAATGCTTGTGTTATTTAGTGCATTTTGCAGGCCAGATACTTAAGGAAAAATTGAGCTAGAATTAACTTATAAAGAAAGTGCAAATGATTTGTTAATGTGCTTTAGAGAGAGCGAGATATTTGCTTTTCATTGTCACTCACACCGATACTCTGTAAAATGGGCTGAAAGAAAATAGTCCACTCTCTTATGCCAATAGTTTATATCATGGAAAACAACATGTCTCTTGCTTTTTTTTAAATAAAGAGTTCAGTATACTCTAATCTCACAATACAAAGCTCCCCTCAGCAATACACCAAGGCCATTTATAGAAACTAAACTGCAAAAATGAGCCATTTGTCAACATGTCAAGTTGTCATCAGTTGTCATACGGCCATACATGACAGTCTTTGTTTACATCAATGAATCAGCATCTAAAGCCCTCTTAAAACATGTTTTTTAACCAAATATATGGAAGTCTGTTGAGTTGCTGTAACAGATAAGGTGAACGTTAAAAGATTAAATATAATATTTATGACTATAAATGGTAATTTAAAGTAATTGCACAGCAGATATGTACTTAATTGGTAATGAAACCTTCACACTATTAATATAATTTAAAATAATATATTTAATATTAGAGACAGTTTATTTCCATATTTGTATACGGAGTATAATGTTTTACAATTAATGTGTGCAGTCTTATTCTTAAGCGATCTTGAGTGTCTATAGAATAAAATTAGTCACAAAGCTGCAATTAAAGGCATTTGGAACCAAACCTTAAACATGGCTTCACACTTTTATATGGGCTTTTAAATATTTTAAACTAGGTATGAACCGATGTGACCTTTTTGGCCGATACTGATAACCGATAATTCTTTATACTTGAAAGCCGATAACCGATATATTGGCCGATAAATCTAAATCCAAATTTTTATTTCATTTTTGAGAGTCTGATTACAAAAACAGAAGTATCACCATTAAAATCCATTTCCCAATCACATCATATAGTTTACATGGACTATATGACAGACTTGTGTTGCACTAAACTCTATTTAAATTTTTTTTGTCCAATCATATTTCAAGCAATTCCAAACCATGTTGAACAGTGCATCTGAAGCGTCTCAGCTGAAGGAAATAATACATTAATTATCAGCTTTCTTATCAGGCCGATAACGATAACACTAAAAATGAACATATATCGGCCGATACTGATATGGCGGCCGATATATCGTGCATCACTATTTTAAACACACAAATTTCAGCAGCTCAACTGGTAGAGCAATGAGCATGGAACTATCAATACCATTATATATCTTTATTGATGAAATGTATGATTTGCATGCATCCAGCAAAATGTTAAGATGGAATTCTGTAATTTAAAAACGGTTAAAATGCTGGTATTGGTACATTTTTAGAAGCATTACCAAAGTGCTGGTACTTTTGACCTCCCTTGTTGTACTAATCAGTTTTCTGAAAAAAGAGATGCGTTTGATAAATTAGTATGTGTACGTAGTATGACCCCATATCTCCCTCTACAGGCTTGGATGACAGCCAGGCATCAGTGAGCGGCCACATCCTCCATCAGCGCAGCCATGCCACCCCCAGCAGACATAGTGAAGGTGGCCATCGAGTGGCCGGGGGCCTTCCCCAAACTCATGGAGATTGATCAGGTCAGTTCCTACTGATGACTATATCTCCTTGTATATGCATCCTTATACATCATCTTACATAAGTGCATGCTTGCTTTTTTTTATATATATTTTTTTATTTTATTTAACCCGTTTTATTTTGTTCGAAACCTGTTTCTTTACATACAATGACATTTCATGACCATGGCCGTTGATATGAGAAAACAAAACACCAATGCTCCGTAATTGTTTGCTACACAGAAGAATGAGTCATATGGGTTTATTCACATTGTGAATATTCCTTTAACATGTGAGTGAAAATGCCCTGCAGTGCATGTGTGAATGATGAAGAATATGTGCTATAAAAACTATTGAGACTAATCTTGGACAAATCCTCCTAAAGTTCCTTATTAGTCTTTATTCAGCAATTCTTTATTCTTCTTTGTTGCCTTTTTTGTTTTCCTGACTTGACTCAACCAAATGTTTGCTCAAAAGTTGTAAAAAATTGTTGATGAAGAATGTTTATTAGCCGTAAATAAGTAAGGCAGAATATCAGTTCTAAGACTAGAGTAAAAAACACTTTTTTTCTTGTTTTGTTTTGTCTGCTGCAGAAAAAACCTCTCTCAGCCATCATTAAAGAAGTGTGTGATGGGTAAGTAACAAACCAATATATATATATATATGTGTGTATATATATATGTATATATGAAATGAAATGAAATGCCCTTTTATTGTCACTATACACATGTTCAATGAGATTAAAAGCAACTTCTTTTCCAGTATCAACATGTAGAGACAACGACATAAAATTAAATAACCACCTAATTTCAAATAATCAAACAGTAGTGCAAAAGAAGAGGTAGATGTTATCAATATTATGAAAATATTAAATGTTAAATATTTCACACTATACACATATATCTGAATAGGGGGATTTATTCAGAACAGTGCCATAACAGTTATAAAAACGAGGTTGTGAGGGATAGACTTATTGTTTTTTCAATGGCATTTCCTGTACAAAGCTCCTAGATTTCTTTGGCTTCTGAAAGATATTTATCATTCCCGTTAAAAATCAAAGATGTCTTTGCGCTGCTATGAATATGGTCTATAAAGGAGTGTTCCATATCACTTCGCCAAATTATTTCAGTAATTTCAAAGGTCCTTACAGACTACAACAGCAAAAGAACCAAAACCCACAACAACACTGACCAAGCAAATAAATATAGTAATCAATAGGATAAAAAAAAACATCTAATTATTTCCTTGTTTTTTGTTTTTTTTTGCAAAAAAATTCTTTTTTATTATGAAAAGCACATACACTCTTACTCTCGCTCTCTGCACACGCATACAGTACAGACACACACTCGCGTAGAAACGTGTTGTCAGCGTTGCTCAACTTAAAAGCTACATTATATTTCTCACTAAGGTAATAACAACGCTCTGCTTGAAGCAGATAAACGTACAGTTTCGCTATAAGTAGAGACAACTAATTTGACTTTTGAGAGACGCACAGACAGGTAATTACTCTTATGCTTAATCTCTCTCTCTAATAACTGCAGTCTGCTATCAGTGGCTTAAGTCTCTGTTTCTAGCTCTAAAATTACGTTTTGGAATTGGCAACGGAGGCTTAAGATGAAAATTAGTCCTACACACAAGAGCGTTAAGTACACAAACCTGACAAACATCTTGAAATACATCATCTAAACAATATTTTGAGGTGTGGTAACCATAGTATAAACGGAATAATTGACTCCAGGTTGTCGAATTATTGAAAAATGACGCACTCCCGAGGTGTAACGGCATTACCTCCCGAGTGTGCATTATTTTTCTAATAATTCAATGGCCCAGAGTCAATTATTCCTTACATAATATATAGAATTTTCCGAGTTATTACCAAGAAATCATTTTTTTTCCCTGTCAAGAGTTTGAATTATGCTGATATTGTTTATTTTATAGTAATCTCAGATGTTTTTCTGAATCTAGATGGAACTTGCCAAACCCTGAAACCTTCTCCCTGCAGAATGCTGACTCGACCAACTTCTACATCACCGAAAAGGTTCATTTGCAAAATCTCGAAAAGAAGCTGTATTGCTAAGCTCATTCGTTTTTTTTTTTTTTTTTAAACTTCTCCTCTAATTTTTCTTTTTCTTTTTTTTAAACCCAGAATCGCAACAACATCAAAAACGGCTCCATTCTGCGGCTTACTACGTCTGCTGTAAGTAGCACATTTGAGTTTACTGATGCCAGAAATACATACTATATACTGTATAAAGGCTACATCAGCAGGAGGGAACCTGCCTTTATCCTCTGAAGCCCTGCCCCATGCAGCTGGGGCCTGTAATCCTTCAGATGTGAGGGGTGAAAGGTTATATAACCAACGCTTCCTAAAGTGTGAGGCAGCAGCTGAGAAACAGTCTTGCATGACCTGTCAATGCGTAAATGTGCCCAGCTGTCATTATTTTCACTTCTTTTCTCTCTGCCGGATACAGAAAATGCTGGGATTGGCTCTTTGTTCTAAAAAATATATTGTCGTTTTGGAAACACGTTACATTAGATTAGATATTTCATTCAGAAACGGCTTTTCTTATGACCCATCTGAATTTGCAGCTTGGGGAGGATGATATTTAAAGCTGATGTCTGTGACATTTGAAACCGTCCCCTCCAGCATACTGACAGAAAGGGCTGTTTCTCTTCCTGTGATGTTTTGCACCAGCCACCATTGATATTTAACAGTCATCAGTCCTCTGTGTGGCTTCGATAGGTTTCATAGAAGAAAGCAATGGTGTATTATTATGGTTTCGTATTATGATGCTGTGTTCAGTTACATTGGTGTAGTCACAGTGTGTGTGTTAGGTTTTTTTTTTTTGAGATGATCAAAGCATGCGATTTTAATTTGAAGGAAAGATGGAAACAGTTGTCCCAAAAAGTTTTTCGACTGATTCTAAACTTTTAAAATATATGAATGGTATTACATTAGATGCAAAATATCAAAACAATTGATTTTATGTTTTTCACAGGACTGAGTATTTTTGTGGTTCATGATATCTTGATGTTCCACAAAATATGCATCAGTCTGTCAGATAATTTAAACCGTTTGTCATCATTTGGACCGTTTTTTTTTTTGTTTTTTTTTTAATTGTGCTTAGTTTTGCTTAGAAACACTTCCATAGTAAAGGATGCTAATAAGGAATAGACATGAAAATACATGGGATATTGTTCATTAAATGGAGTGAACAGATCTGATAAAAAGAAAGAAGAAAATGGACAACCCAATTTATCAAAGAGATTGATAATATAGGCAACATTTGTCCTTTCTATTTGATTTACTAAAATATCAAACTAAAAATGAAATTTTAAAAAAACTATATAGGCATATAAATAGAAACAAAATTACTGAAACTAACTAAAATTGAAAAGAGAACATGAAGTGTAAGAATAAAAACGAATTAAAATTATTAATAAAAAACTATGAAAGCATTACAATTATACTAAAATAACTCTCAAATGCAATGATATTCATTGATTTTTTTTTATTTTTTTTTTAAAGTGTGTCTTAGATACTTGTCCAAATGCTTTTTAGGAAATTTATACCAACTAAACTAGTTTTTAATTTATTCGAATATAACTTCCAGAATATTTTATAATTAGTAATTGTCGATATTGAACACACACTGACATGCTAAATACTGTTGAATGAGGCAATCGTTGTTGATTCAGCGAGACTGATTTAGAGAAGTATAGTCTCGCCTTCTTCCTTGAGTTGCGTGACTAAAAGGCCTGACCTCCTACATGAGGATCCGTCAACCTCTCACTCACACGCCTCTTCTGTGGCCATGGTAACAGGCCCAGATGGCCCAGCAGCTGCACGAGCGCATCCAGTCGTCCAGCATGGACATGAAGCTGGATGCTCTGAAGGATCTGGCCAACTCTTCACGAGACATCACCTTTGCTCAGGAGTTCATCAACCTTGACGGCATCTCGCTGCTCACACAGATGGTGGAGAGTGGCACAGAGTAAGTAACTGTTTTTGTTCCTCTGGCTGCCTTTCTCTCTGTTTTCATTACAGTGCTCTTGATATTCCCTCATCGGTTTGTTGCCTTAGCAGGGCTTAAGCAAATTAAAACCCAAATAAAGACTTGGCCAGTGACTTGCACCGTACGCTTTGATGATGATGCCCACTCAAATGTCTCAGTGAGATTCTGAGATGTTGTTCAATAGGAGTCTTCAAATCCCAATAAACAGAAATAAAAGTTTGGAGTTAGTACAATGTTTTTGTTAAAGCGAATAATAGTTTTATTCTGCAGGGATACATTCAATTGATTAAAATTGACAAATCTTTTTTAGTCGTGTCACCTTTATTTTAATAGTTTTTTATACAATACAGATTGTTTTAAAGCAGGAAAATTATGCTGGTGTTTTTAGCTAGTTAGCATTATAAATGTTTTTGCTATTTCAAATAAATGTTGTTTTAATCTCTCCATAAAATTGATCCTCATACACAAAAATATTAAGCACTTAGCAGAAAACTGATTTAACATATGATAATGATCAAATTAGCAAACAGTTATTTTAAATTGTAATAATATTTCACAATATTGTTGTTAGGATTTTTATAAATAAATGTAGCCTTGGTGAGCATAAGGGACTTGTGAAAGCTAGTAGATTAATCTCAATGAGAACAAAAACACAATGATTTGGCATTGATAATACACAGTGCCTTAAAACAACACAGCGACTCACCTTCAAACATAACACAACGTGCCGTGAAACAACACAACAAAGTGTCTTCAATCACAACACAAATAACAATGTTCCCTCAAATACAAATGTGCTTTTAATCACATAAGAACACAACAGTGTTCCAGTCTTTAAAAAAAACAGTCTTTAAACACAAAACAACTTGCTTTCTGACACAAAACAACACTGAGGGCACATTGTTGTGTTGTGTCTGAGAGTGTGAGGTGTTGTATTTGATCACACTTTGTTGTGTTTGAAGCCACAATGTTGTGTCTGAGAGTGTTATGGTGTTGTTTTCACACACTTTGTTGTGTTTGATGACTCTTTGAGGGCAAATGTTGTGTTTAAGGACACTTTGTAGTATTTTGTTTGAAGCTGAACAGTGAACACAAACAATGTGCCTTCCAATGCAACACAACCTAATCACATCAAAGATGCATCATCCAAATAAACGGTGCAATTTTTATATCAGACGGGTCTATTAATAATATATGAATTGTATGCATTTCACTCCCTCCCCCTGTCTCCTCTGTGATATAAAGCAGCCGTGTGGCCAGACCATCTCAGTTGAAGGTTAAAGCGGAGATAGACTATCTGCTGAGCTGGCACTTTTTAAACTCCTATACGGAAGGTCCCATGGGGAGGCCGAGCTCTGCCAGCAGACACAAACTGCCTTAGGAGAGAGAGAAACAAACTGGGACTAGAGAAACACACTTAGAGGCAGAGTCAAGGAATAATAATGTACTAAAGAAAAACAAAGGCGGCTAGGAAGATACACTTTCAAGACGAAATTTCTTTAAAAACAAACAAAAAGACCCGATTGTCTGTCAAACTGGATGTCTCCTCTGAGGCTGGTCAACTTCACTGGCTTGTGCTTTAGTTTTCCATTACATGCTAACCTAATTATGCCTGCCCTTGCTCTTTTGTCAAGGTCATTCTATTCCAATGGCTGTTTTCATGTAGTTGTGGAAGAAGATTTATCTGAATTGCCGGATGGATTAATTTTCTTGCATGAGCAAAAGTGATTTCCCTCTGGTGCTCGGCCGGTTAAGGGAAATTATGCTGCCGTTGGGATGTTGGTTTTATTTCACTGAATCAATAGCTGCGTTTTTACTTATCGGAGCTCTGCGCCGCCGGCTGAGGTGTTTCAACATTTCGGTACGCTGAAGAGCTGACCATGGAAATGATTTCCATGGGTATGTTTTATATAAAGCAGCTCTGTGTCAACAGCTCCTGACCTCAAAGAGCCTATGTGTGGGTTTCTATGCAGTCCTTTCATACCGTTAAGAATCCAAGTCGACACGCACATGCACACAAGTACACACTGTTTCACATTCTTGCCATGGATTCCTGTTAGCCGCTGACCAGGCGATGATTATTCAGAAGACTTAAGCATGACGGCACTCTTGAGGATACAGAATGAGTACTCTTACATCATGGGGCATGAATGCAGCCGGTTGAAGAGTTAGTGGTGTAGTGGCTCCCTCTACTGGTCATGTGCCACAGTAGCACTGTGATTGAGGTTGTTAACAGTTAAAGATTCAGAAAGTAACGTTAAAATGTTTTGCATTTAAAACGAGTAGTGCCACTGTTTTGATTCTCAGAGAAATATAAATTCAGAAATTGTTTTGGATGTTTTTATGCTTGTGCTATTAGTGAAGGTTGATGATCTCAAACTATTATATTTGGCAGACACAAATATAGGCAGTTGATTATTATTATACCAGTAATATGAATTAATTAATCATTATTAACCTAGCTAAGTGTACATATGTATATTAGCCTTCGGATTGGCCAATGAAACAAACTGCATCAAAAAAAAAAAAAAAAAAAAAAGGTTTTAATAGTCAAAAATACAAAAATATTGATTTATTTTTGGTCACAATTGTAACTTGTAAGAAAGTACATAATCAAAATTGGCACAGTTGCTCAATACAATCCAACAGAAACTTTAAAACAGTACAGTTTGTAGCTTCACATTTAGTGAAGCCAAGAAATGTATTACTTGTTGTATTTATTGCATTAATATGTATTACTTTTAAGTGGTCATGGATTATCATATATATTTTCAAAGCCGTCTGTGCTTATATTTATAGTTGACAACTCTGTGTGAAATACAACCTTTTTTTCAGACCCTTCTATCTGTAACCAATTCCAGTCACAAATGGGTTTTAAAAGTACAGTGCAAGTCATTAGGTAAGAAATGAATCTTTAACGATCAAACATGATGAGTAATAGGCTATCTGTTGATTATAGCCCTGCTGACAGCAGGGCCATGAGAGGAAACAAGAGCTACGTTTGAGTCATAAATAAATGCAATATAATGCATGATGATTTGTAATGGATACTTTTGGTAATCCTTCACAGTTGCTCATAACCACCACAGGGAGTTAAGCACACGCCGTGCATTAAATGCGTGTGTAGGCAGTGTGCAGTGTGCTTCTCCCACAGTTCTGCTTTGCATGCTTTTTGTCTCTCAGAAAGGTTTTTTAAATGTTCAGCTTTGTTTTTCTCTCAACTCATGCTGCACTGGATGTTTAAGATATACTCTACTCTGTTTTAAACCTTGTGTAACCATAACAATGGGTTTTCCACAGATTTTCCTAATGTAAATGTCATTATGGGTTCATAAAGGAATATTTGGACCCAGACTATGTAAGTGTTTCTTTCTCCCTGACGTCAAAGTTTTTAAATCTTTTCAGACGGTATCAGAAACTACAGAAGATAATGAAGCCCTGGTAAGCCCCTCCCCTCGAGCTGGATAACCCCCCTGTCACTTACCCTCTAATCTCCGGCCGAGTCTCTGCATGATCGGGCTCTGGCCTCAGTGCTCAAAACCAATCAAAGCAATGATGGGAACACTTGGCAACTGCTGCAATCACTACCATTTTGATTATTTCCATGTAATAAATCAGCTGTCTTTCTTTCTTTTGCATGTGGTATTGGGCAACATTGGTGCTTTAGGGGAAGCTTTGTTTGCACTAATCACTTTTGGGAAACGTTTTCTTGTTTTGTTTTTTGTCCCCCACTCATCGACAAGAATCTACGCTCACATTTTCATATAATTGTAACATCGACTATCCCTCTTAAACTTGATCAAAACACTGCTTTTTTCCCCCCTCAAAATCCTTTTGCCTAGGATACCTCTAAAATGATTGGTTGTCATAAACAACCAGAAACTATTTTCCTCCTCACGAAAATATCCCCTTGTGATATTTTATCATTCCTCAGTGCCACTGTGGATTTTTTTTCTTTTTTTTTTCTTTGCCCAATTCCAGCTGCAAATATTTCCTGCTCCCAGTGGTACATTTATGAATTGCTGTTCAAACTAATGTCTTTTTATTATGAGGTCTAACTTATGCTGTATTAACTCCCTGCTATATAAATACTCAACACCAAGCTGAAGGCAGGTTGCTTAAAGGGTTAGTTCACCCAAAAATGATCCCATAATTTAATCACCCTCAAGCATCCTAGGTGTATATTACTTTCTTCTAACACAATTAAAAAAATATCCAAGCTTTATAATGGAATTGAATAGTAACTGAGTTTTTGAAACCCCAAAAAGCACATCCATCCATCATAAAAAAACTAATCGATATGGTTCCAGTGGGTTAATAAAGGACATCTGAAGTGAAGCGATGCGTTTTTTTTGTTTTGTTTTTTTTGTGTGTGTGTGCGTCTTCCGGCTGAAGAGTGACCACTGATATGACTGATATTCACCACCATTATATAACTCTGAAAAAAAAAAAAAGAAAGTCATATAGGATGGCTTGAGGGTGAGTAAATTATGGAATCATTTTCATTTTTGGGTGAACTAACCCTTTAAGATTCCTGTTTCATTTCTGCCTTTTATGTTCTGTTACTTTAAAAATGTTATATGTATTTATGTTTTTGTAACTGAAGTTTTTTTGTTTTTTTTGTCGGTTGGTTTTTGTTTTTTCTCTTTTTTGTAACTTTTAGTTTCTCCTGTATTTTCGTTATGAGGAATAATCAAAAGGCATAAACAGTGGTATTTGTGACGATAGGGGGCAGTGTTATTCATTTAAAACCAAAAATCTGTGAAAAAAGCTATGGCACATAGGGTGCTTCTCAAACAAAAGGCTGTGTCCTTCCTTGTCCAGTCTATCTGAGGGTTGTAGGCGAAAGTCCTCAGCATTAAAAGTTAGAGTAAGATGGTCTAGTTAGTGCACATTGCATAAATGTTTTCACCCCTGGGGGTCTCAATAGGAAAATACAATTAAAATAAATATTTGAAAACATTTTATATTAAAAACTTCTGCCTTTCAATTAATGGAGTACAGGCAATGACAACCATCTGTGGTCTCCCAGTGGTTTACATTACGCACAGTTTAGCATTTATCTTTAATTTATAATTTATGTGATGTCATTATCTCCAAAATAATTGTTTTGCCTTAATGCGTAGTGAAATTGGACAAGCTCAGTGCCAATTCATTTTCTTTCAATTCTTCATTGTGAATTGGAATGTGTGCAGAGGTTTGTGGGTGATTGAAGGATACACTTGATGGATCCTTCAAAACAGGCTGAATGAAGGACATAAAACAAAGGCTGCCTTTAAAAGATCCTTTTAAATCGAGAATTCCTTTGACGGAGCTTGATGACGTGTCAGTCGACATATACAGCCTTTCTAGGACGCAGCCTTCCAATTGAAAAGCACCCGTAATGAGGATTAGAATTAGTTTTTAGCCAGACGATAATTGATTTTTCGATAATTGATTGATTTTTTTTCTTTCTCAAAACTACAAAGTAATTAAGTCCCTGTCTTATTACTTAAAGGAATATTTGAGGTCTAATACAAATATCTATATTATAAACAGCATCAGAGACATGGTAGTATGACTGTGTGTTTGTCCAGGAAAGGTCCTGTTTTTTTTCTTTCTTCAAATTAATTTTACAAAATATTTGTCTGTTAATCAACAGTATGCTACAGATGCTGTTTATGGAAGTTGTTCCAATCCTGTATGACTTTTTATGGACACAAAAACAAATGTGTTTCACCACTGATGCTAATTGTTTACTAAAACTATTAAAAAGCATTTTTGTTAACTGATATAAAGCTGAAGTAAAATGTACTGTTAGGATAATTCTAGGATGAAAAATTTTAAGAATTGTTGCTTTGGAAACTAAGTGAAATAAAGTTGCAGTACTAAAATGACTAAAACTGCAATACATTTAAATAAATTAAAGAAAAAGAAAAAGAAAGTTAATTCAAAATATTAATAACTACTAGACTAGTAAAAAAAAAAAACTAAAATAACCCTCTGTTCCACAAAAGTAAAAGTCATTCAGGTTTGGAACAAATAATATTGAACTTTCCCATTAAGTTAAGTATTTAACCTACAATATTCCTTCGAAGACTATCATATTCTGTTGTGTGTCCATTCATCATAACTATAATGTCCCAAACAAACTGCTGCATGATACCACTGAACATTTCTGCCAGTGTAATTCCACTGCTGCTGCTCCGGCTGCCAAACGCTCTGGCATTGGCTGCTCTTCTGTAGGACAGGGACATCAGCATGGGCTGACTCCATGTCCTCCTTTTCTCCAGCTTCTTCTCACTCACTCTCGCTCTGTAAGGCTGAAGCTTAGCTGTTCTTTCAGGGCAGGTGAGCGGTAGAGACGTGGCTAGTGGCTGTTGTCTTGTCTTTTATAGCTTTGGTGACCTGCTCTCCTTTACACTGACGGCCTTCGTGGAGCTAATGGACCATGGCATTGTCTCCTGGGACACCTTCTCTGTGGCCTTCATCAAGAAGGTGCGTGGTCTGTGTGGGTCCTAACGCTCCAATACAGTCATGGGGATACTATGCTGTCAAAAAATCTCTAAAGTAACACTTTACTTGAAGGGGTGTGCATAAGACTGACATGACACCTTCATAACCATGACATGACATATGTCTTGAATATGAAGTAGGGTTTATGTTTATGTTTAAGTGTCTTTCGCTCTGTTATGACATTCATTTTGAATGCAAATATGGCATTGTTTAAGATGTCTTTGTTATGACATCTTGACATAAACCATAACACCATAACCTGTCAGGGTATTTGTCATGACAACTTGACATAAAATGTGTTTGGCTTTGACATTGGCTGTCATGAGGCCATTATAACTGGCATGAATAACTACAGTGGTACCGATTTGAATTTGTCAATTAAAACTAAGTTATAATGACTTCATGACAGCCAATGTCAAAAACCAACCACCATTACAGTTTAATGTAATGTTAACCAATAAAGCTAGGTAGTTTCTTAAATTTGATCATTAATCTGCTATGTCATGTTTATGACAGGTTGTGTTGTCTTAGTAATGTCAAGTTGTCATGACAAAGACACTGACAGATTATGATGTGAATATGACATTTTTTGAGATCATGACATAAACCAATATTAATCACTCAGAATGACATTTTTAATGCAAATGACATTTAATGACAGTTGTCGCAAACATGCATAAAACTTCCTTCATATTCATAACATATGTCATGATTGTGAAGATGTCATGTCAGTCTTTACGGATAAGACGTTAAACGAGGTCCTGGCTATCTGTGATCTTTAAAAATCCCAGGATGTCCTTTGAATATACAGTAGGGGTTTAACCCTGGAATACTAGTAGCCATATTTGCCCATTGGCCTTTGTCCATTTTCATGCCCTACTACACATCTCCATATATACTGATTGGCTTCATCACTGTCTCTTCTTCACCAATGAGCTGGTGTGTGTGGTGGGCATTCTGGCACAAAATGGCTGCCGTCGCATCATCTAGGGTGGATCCTGCACATTGGTGGTGTTTGAGGAGATTTTCCCCATTCCATGAATCCAACAGTGTAATCCATGTCATTTTTTTTCCATGTGCCAAGAAAAGCGATGTATAAATGTAACAAACTAGTATTATTATTATTTAAAAGTCACATGTATTTTATGTCGTAGGATAAAAAGTAAAAATATCTTGAGCTTGTGATCTTATTTCAGGCATTTAACCAAAAGCAAAAAAGAAAAATTGACTTTGGGACAAAGTGCAATTAACAAAATAGATACACATAGATTTACATTATAAAATAAATACAATTCACTAAGTTGTTATTGAGTTGGGTCTTTTGCTGAATATAATGTGTTTGATTATTAAAAATGTCATAAGACACTAAATCGTACTGTGTTCATGCTCTATTTTGATGGAGCTCTAGCTTTGAAACATTTCAAATCCACATTTCTGTGCATAACTTTCAGTTATTTTTAACTTGTCGCTTCATCCTTAGATTGCCAGTTATGTGTGTAAATCTGCCATGGACACTGCTGTACTCCAGAGGTCTCTAGCCATTCTGGAATCAATGGTCCTCAACAGTCAAGATCTCTACCAGAAGGTGGCTCAAGAAATCACCATTGGTCAGCTCATCCCTCATCTGCAAGGGTATGGAGCAGGGATAATTTATCTCTTTCGCATCGAAGTTCTCACATTGTATTCAGTTTGTCCCATTTGTCATTTATACTTCTCCATATAATGAAAGCATGACTGTCAGGCTCCAAAAATTACAAAAATGCACCATTATTAGTGCATGCAGACAAGTTTGAATATGCACATCTGGACTGGGCGTCAAGCTTTTGGGGCTTTATTACAACCCTTCGTTACTGTATGCTTTTTTTATGTAAATGATGATTATTTTTGGTGAACTATACCTAGGGATCCATGATATATCGGCCAGCATATCGGTATCGGCCGATACATATGTCGGCCTGGTAAGAAAATGTGGCCGATATATTAAAGCCGATAAAAAAATGTATTATCCCCTTCAGCTTAGACACTTGTTAAGCACTGTTTATGTTTTTGATTTTCTTGAAATTTTCTTGAAATCTCTTTAAAAAAATGAAAATATGGTTCGGTACATCATGTGCAGCACAAATCTGTCATCGTCTATACAACACTATAATGAGAACATCATTATAATCGTGCGCTTGGGACATGGATTTAATTGTGAGACTTTTGTTTTTGTAATCAGGCTCTCAAAATTAGATAAAAATTTGGATTTAAATTTATCGGCCGATATATCGGTTATCGGCTTTCAAATATAAAGAATTCTCGCTATCGGACAAAATTTTCATATCGGTGCATCCCTAACTATACCGTTCAATTCTTGCTCTCTTCGTTTTGTTTTTCTCTCTCTCTGGCAACAGGACAGATCAGGACATTCAGACTTACACTATCGCAGTGATTAATGCATTGTTTCTCAAAGCCCCTGAGGAGAAGAGACAGGTACAGCACACACAAACTCATTTTCTGCTTTTTCCATTTGTTTGGTGTTGCCTAGACTAAATAATGGTACTTTCTTTGTCAGGCAAGACGTGAGAAAATGTCACCCGAATGTCTTTCATGTTTGTCTAAATTATTGTTCTAACAAGCCACAACAGTCAATTGTGTCAACAGTCAACACTGTTTCATGACAACTCTCGATATTGCATGCTATTGAATATGGCACATATTAATGTATTTGGTCTTGGCAGACTAGATCTGCTATACTACTGCTGATGATAATTATTAGTGCTGCAGCACAGCAAATATGGGCTTGCTACAGCTAATAGATACAGAAACGCGTTTCTGTGAGCATGTTAGATATCTAGGCAGGTGGAGGTGGAGCAAACAATGAACCAGACTATTTAAATGTTAAGCAAGCAATATCATTGGCTGCAAGATCAGCAGAGGCCTACCAGCTTGGGCTATGCGCTAATGATGCGATTGCTTGCAGATTGCATGTAAAGAACCTTTTAGTCTAGTAGTTTTGTCATTCTGTATTATTTTGGATTGCTCCGCACACTGAAATCTCATTCGTCCAAATGCTTACTCCACATCACTGCATGTTAAACATCAAATATGTTGTGATTGGTTAACATTGTCAACATAAAATTGCTTGACACTGGAAAATCGGTTTGGACAAAGTGTAAGAGGTGCTGTTTGTGTAGTCATACAAGTATGTCATGGCATAATTTTGTTATTTTGTACCTGTATATGTGTGTTTGTGTTTGTTTTTCACTTCAGATCATTTCCTTTTCCTTTCCTTCACCCTTATTAAATGCCTGTTATTCTTAATAGCCAACTGAGTATGCTGAGTATTTTCATGTGTAAAATCCAGCTTTTTAAATAGGAATCCACACAATCATGAATTTTGTGTGAGAGGGAAAGATTTCGCCACATCGAATTTGCCACGTTAACTGTCGGAGAGCTGCAGAAAGTGTCTGTGTGATCTGTGCTTCATACATTGCTATACTATTGGCAATATAATGGACCTTTTTTTCAGTAGCACCTTATTGCAGTACACAAGATCCAGGGGGCGGAGTTGGATCCAGATCTAAGGGGTGGAGATGGGTAGGATTAGGGTTGGGGTTAGGGATCGGGGTGGAGATGGGTAGGATTAGGGTTGGGGTTAGGGATCAGGGGTGGAGATGGGTAGGATTAGGGGTGTGGTTAGGGATCAGGAGTGGAGATTGGTATAGGATTAGGGGTGTGGTTAGGATCGGGGGTGGAGATGGGTAGGATTAGGGGTGTGGTTAGGGATCAGGGGTGGAGATGGGTAGGATTAGGGGTGTGGTTAGGGATCAGGGGTGTGGTTAGGATCGGGGGTGGAGATGGGTAGGATTAGGGGTGTGGTTAGGGATCAGGGGTGGAGATGGGTCCGATTAGTGGTATGGTTGGGGATTGGGGGTGGAGATGGGTAGGATTAGGGGTGTGGTTAGGGATCGGGGGTGGAGATGGGTCAGATTAGGGGTATGGTTAGGGAGGGATCAGTGCGTAGGTTTAGGTATATGTAAGGTGGGAGGAACTGGATCTGGATCCAACTCCTCCACCTGGATTTCATGTTCTGCAGTGAGGACCATCTCCTTTTTTTTGGCCGTGAAGCTAATGTGAACGCACCTTAATACTCCACTTTCCTTTGTTGTAATCAGTACTCACAGTGATGTAGTGTTTAATTAGATTAACTGAAGTGAAGGAAAAATATTTTGTGAAAAAATAAAACGTTATTAGTTAAAGATGTTGAAAGCAATGCTAACCACCTTGCTAAGTTAACTTCCCTTAAGCTAAGCCCCTGAATTAGATCACCCCTTATTTTTACGACCATACGCCCACTCTCCTAACATACGCCGAAGTCCTGACGTTAGCAGAACCTGAACATGCAAAATAATTGACAGACAGTCAGACAGCAACTCCCAGTGTTACCTGTTTACAGAGCACTGTGTTGTGGGGTGTCTCAGGACACCTATTTTTCCAATATTTGTCAGGCAGTTGGACATTTAATGTGTAGTACTAAAAAAATTGCTTACAGCAGCTTTAAGTAAGTAAGTGACTTAGGAGTCACAGCGGGCTCATGTAACTGCCTCATATCCTAAATGTCAATTTACTGTTTCTCCAGGTCTGTTTTGCTGACCTCTCATTTCTGTGCTACTAACAAAATGCCTCTTCTTTTTCTCTCGCTTCTATTCTCTTCTCTTTTTCTATCTCATTCTCTCATTACTTCCTCCCCTTGCTGTGCTCGTAATGGTAGTTTGATGAGGACAATGTGAACATCCTTGATTGTCCTCTAACAGTAAGTGCTCTCTAGTTAAGGTGAACCCTCTGTAGGTGATTTAACTGATATTAGACTGAGCTGTTTTGTATTTGTTGTAGAGTTATACCTTTTAAATAGGTTATTGAAGGTGTGTGTGTTTGTGTGAGATTTAAGGTGACTCAATTTTTTTGTTTGATTATAGGAGATGGCCCACATTCTAGCACAGAAGCAGCTGCGCTCAATCATCCTCAGTGTAAGTGCACAGTATGCATACTACAAAAAGTAGTATACCAGTATGCCAATCTGAACATAAATATCTCTCTTTGGTTCTGTTTTCCTGCAATTGATTTAAAAACATACTGGTAAAGTAGTAATTTGTTAGTATTTAGAAGTAGTATAGGTATTAGCAGTAATGATGATAATAATAACAATACTAGTAATAATATATTCTTTAACCCTAATCATAAATGACTGGAAAACTCATGATACCATCTCCACAGCAATCAGACTTTCTCCAACATTCTCTTTCTCTTTTGTCAGAATGTGATCAGGAGTAACAAGCCCATAAATGATGAGATGGCACACCAGCTCTATGTGCTACAAGTCTTGACCTTTAACCTTTTGGAGGACCGCATGATGACGAAGATGGACCCTCAAGACCAGGTGAAACTCTATCACTGAACAGGTTTTACAGATGTGTTCATTAAACAAATGGACATTACATATTGATTTGATTTATTAATTATTTAATTAGAGAGCTGTGCAGTAATATGGTTTCATACCTGTGTTTATGAAGGCTCAGAGGGACATCATCTTCGAGCTGCGCAGGATTGCTTTTGACGTTGAGTGCGAATCCAACAACAGTGGCAGCATTGAGAAGCGAAAGTCCATGTACACGCGAGACTACAAAAAACTGGGCTTTATTGTAAGTTGTCATAAATTCCATTATATTATAATCTTTGCTAGCTCTAAATTGACAGAACTGGAAAAAGATCTACATGTTTTTAATTGTAGTCTTCGCTCATTTAACAAACTCTGTTGTGAAGATGCATTTCAGAATGTGGGTGCAAGCGAGAAAGTCTCATATAGGTTCAATCTCTAAAAATTTAGAAGACAATGAAGAAATTCATGAACAATTAAAGCTGCAAGCAGCGATGGGCAGGCCCTCGCACCTGTAGCACGCCGTAGTGTGAGGCGGCCGCGTTGCATATTCTGGAGCTCAGTCAGTGCAGCTGTGAATTTGCTACGCATCCAAATCACCCAAAAATTGAAATAAAACGTCTGGACATGATCCATGTGCCACAGAAGTAGGTCAAACGTGCGGCGGGGGCTGCTTCGTTAAAGGTCACTTCCTGTTTCCAGCAGGTGGCGCTATGACTGTGGGTGAATGTTGGCATGTAGATTTGTTCAGGGCGGGACTCTTGTCAAATATGTAAAATTTCGTGCAGATCTGGGCATTTACAGCCAAGTTACTACAACTTCCTGTTTCATGGCGATTCATCAACGCCACGGACACGCCCATCGACGAAAACGCCCAGATAGCACATCTTTACATCGTCAAAGCCTTTTGAAGTCGATCCGACTTAATCCCTAGGAGGAGTTCGTTAAAGTACGGAGTGTGTAAATCGTCCCAAAATGGCCGCCAAATTCAAAATGGCAGACTTCCTGTCGAGTTTAGGGTATGAGTTCTTGAGGCTTTTTTGTGCGTCTTGATATGATACACGCCACCACCAAATTTCGTGCATGTAGGTTGAACGTGGACGAGGGGCTATTTTTTTCCAATTTTATTGGTGGTGCTAACGAGCCATTTTGCCACGCCCATCCGCGAAACCCACAAAATACAACATTTTTCACCAGTCCTGATATGCATGCCAAATTTGGTGAGTTTTTGAGCATGTTGCGGCCACGAGAAAATTGCGCTTACTTTGCAGAAAAAATAATAAAAAAAATAAAATAAAAAAATAATCCCAACAGTTTCAATAGGGACCTCGCACCGTTAGTACTCGGGCCCTAATGACTTGGAATTGTTTAGCTAAAGCAGTTTGTCCCCAAATAACATCACTACGATTGCATAGTTCAAAGCATTGTCTAAATCCATTGAGGCTCATCTAAGCTCAGAACATTCAGAGCTCTTTCATCAAATTAGTTTGACACATTTCACTGCAAGAAAGCAGCAGGAAAGAGGGAGAATGAGAGGCCAAGGTAGATGTGAAGAGGAGTAGAAACAGGAAAGGCCCATGAAGCAGAAGCATATTGCGGTCAGTAGCCTGGAGGGGGCAAGACTGAATTTGTCATGTGCTCCTAAGCCCCGGTAAACTTCTGAGGTTCACTAAGACCCATTTCACAGAGCTGTGTGTTGTCTGAAGATAAGACCTTCCCTAAACTCCTCCTGCTGTGTTAACACCTCCAGATTACTTACACACACACAAACAAACAAACATTTCCCTTGCCACCAATGTCAAACGTCAGGTAAGTTTGCGGGTCTAGACACCATTTTAACAGCGTTTTAGGAGACGCTGTTAGTGAGCTGTGCAGAATGTGTTAAGGCAACATTGCTGCTAATGAGGACTGTGTTCCAACTCTCTCAGGGCATTGTCACGTTGATGGATGGGAAATTGGTCTCCAGTGCCCTCGCCACAGACGTGTTTTTAAGTACTGTGCGCTGCCAGTGGACTTTGCCTCTGGCTGACTGTGTTCAGAATAGAATATTAGTGTCTTGCATTCTCCATACTGTGCATTATATACTGTATGCTTTGCACTGTATAACTTACAGTATATAAACTACAGCTCAATAGTGTAAGGTCGGTAAGATAAATATATACATTAGTGCTGTCAAACGATTAAAATATTTAATCGCATTAATGTCATTGTTGACATTTTGATCAATTCTAGCTCTTGATTTCTTTTTGTCCCATTATTTTTTTTTTAATGCTCTTATCAACATGGAAAAGTGGATCGGCTTGCTTTGTGCATGTTTTTTTTAATTGAAAACAACATACTGTGTTCAATTTATTTCAATGTATTTCAACTGGTACCTTCCATCCTCAATGTTTCGTCAACTAGCCCACAACACCTCAAGAGGACTCGACAGAGAGTCATCCCCCTCCGTCCCCTACTCAACTCAGCCCAGCTTACTGACCTTTACATCCCTCCTGCTGCTGAGGTCGCTCCTTCCTCGTAGTTCACATTTGACCTAACCACAATCTCTCTGCAACCCAACCATACGTGCCAACCCGTGTGACTAAGGCTGTCTTCGTTAAAGAGCCCCAATCATAGCATTTGAAATTCCCAAAAACAGTTTAACATGCATGCAAGGATAAAAAACACTTCATTTGTCTTATAATATGCATTTATTTTTAACTGATTTGCTCACCGACTCCCAAATGATTCGTACAACGACTCATTTTTCCAAACCACTCCTTTGTGTGACACTAATCGGCGGTGATTAGTCAGATGACAGACCCAGTCAGTTATTGTTTGTTAGCATAACGCATAAACATATTGATAAAGCACTGCAGTATTACAAGACGCTCTATTCTTTATGACAACTCCAATAACAGCGACAAACATTTCACATATTTAAAAAAAATTGGCATTGGAGACCTAGAAGCTGCGCTGAGTGACAAATATTTTGTAACATTTTAAATGAATGTGATTACTATATTTTTGATCAAATAAATACAGTCTTGGTGAGAAGAAGTGACTTTTTAAAATCTTTCCCGTTACCAAACTTTTGGCATCCCGTTGTCTCTTAACGCTTCCATTGTATGGAAAAGAGCAGTGTGAAGGTTGTTATAAACTTACTTCGTTTTTTTCCCGTGGAACACTAAAAGAAAGATTTTGAACAATGTGACATTAAAGACTGTAAATTAAACTAGGGTGCCAAAAACATTTAATATTACTTGTAGTTCATTTGGAATGTAATATTGCATTGTGGGATACAGAATTTGGTTCTGGTTACATACTCCTTTTTTATTCCATACATGCAAAAATGAGCATTTTTGTACAGTACACATACTCCAAACTGCAAATCTACTAAGTTAGAATGCCCTTCCAAAGTCCCCTCTGTCTCTGTTTCACTGTCTGTGAGTAATCAACCATGTTTTCACTCTGTGGTTCCTCTATTCAGCTCCACAGACTCACCAGGGTCCATCCAAAAGCAAAAACAGAATAATTGGCAAACCCTAAATCCAGTCAGGCAGCCGCAGAGCCCTCATCCTCAAAGCCAGCCGTCTCGCATTTTCAGAAAAGCGCAGATTATTTTGAAGTAGATGGTCGAGCAGAGGGGGCCGATATCCCAGTCGTAGCATTTGCAGGGAGCTTTGTCATCCACCGGGGATATACAGGCCTGTTTCTGAATCACAGACTGGAACCAATGTAACACTTCTCTTATTTCGACTCAACTACTCAAAATGCAATACGAGACTCTCTGCGTGATTACGATGCGAGTCATGGAGTCAAGGCTAGAGTGTGTGTTTCCTCTCAATCATGCTTGTGTTTGTGTGTGTTTGTGTAGAATCATGTGAATCCTGCGGTGGACTTCACTCAGATTCCTCCTGGGATGCTGGCTCTGGATAACATGCTCTATTTCGCCAGGCACCATCAGGATGCTTATATCAGGGTAAGACATGCTAACTTTACATAAGTGCAGAAACAATTTTCTTATTTTAAATCCATTTATTAGCTCCAAATGCAAAGTGTTACGAGTTATGCATTTACATGAAGATTTTAAGACCTCTTAAAATGGTCATTAAGATTTTTGTTATATCAATTAAGACATTTAAGACTTTTTATGACCTTAAATATCATACAATTAGTTTAATATTTTTTTTGTGTGTGCTCTTAAATGCATTTTACAGTTTGCACCCATATTTTTAGTCGCAGCTGATTGCACTTGCACTTTTGAGCCCTTTCTCCTCCAAAATCCATCATCCAGCCCTCTATTCATACTCATCGACTCTGTAAGGAAAGTGTATTGGGGTTGAATGAGGACATTCCTTGTCTCTTCACATTACTCTAACTGTACTATTCCACTTCACTGCCCTCTGCAATGGCGTGCTGCGATTCTGCAGCTCATCGCTGTTTTCACACTCAAGCGATACCCTGATAAATCCTAAAATACACTCTCTACTCAGTATACACCCCAGTGCCCAAACACTTAGCCCCCCTCGTCACAGGATCTGGGACTGACAACAACTCCTCCCACACTGAAATACAGCTCACAAACTTGCTTGGTGTTATTTTTGTTATTTCTAGCAATAAACGGTAAATAAACATCCAAATTAAAAGAGAGAAAATTTCAATAATGTACTCACTATCATGTCATGATTATGAAGGTGTCATTTCAGTCTTATGCACACCCCTTCAAGTAAAGCGTTACCTTATCCATTTAAATGGTCAAAATGTATAAATAAAATGAAATAAATATAACCATGTCAGAATGAGTAGCAAGATTGTGTCTGGGGTTTGCAAATGTAGCCTAAACTACGGTATTACTATTAGCTTACTTTGACCTATTATTCTTTCTGAGCAAATGTTAGTTTATAGTTATGGATAGATTAATAGATAAATGTTCATTTTCCATAAATTAAATATTACTTTGATTAACTTTTCTTATATTAACTCTTCCCCCTCCAGTGCCAGCATTTAGTTGAATGAATATCTGAACATGCAATATATTAAAAGAAAGAACAGTACCTTATATGCATTCTTTTTTTAATCAACAATCGAACGTGGGTAACTTTTATTGAGAAAAAAAAGCAACATTTTGAGAGTCACTTTTTTGTCAAAGACTACATCCAGATCGGATTCAGAACGATGATCAAAACATAGGCAGAGCAGATCGAATGCATCAGTCCATTAACACCCCCAAAAAAACAGTAGCTGAAAAGTACCCAGTTGGCTTACTGTTTTCAGCATTTACTATCCCATGAGGCCACAGGAGAGGATTTGTGAACGCCTGTGAAGCGACACAACTGACGCCTTAGGTCATATGACAGTGATTACAGGGCTGAATTTCATTAATAATACACATATTTATAGTAAATAGAAAGTACTCGAAGCAAGTTCATTCAAATGAAGTACCTACTCAAGACGGTATGCAATTTCGAACACTGCTATGATAAAAAATAAAAAGTAGTTTATGCAGATCAGTTGTTTTTTTCTACAATTTTTAATTGTTGCCCTTTAATTCTGTGTGTATGTTACAGATTGTACTGGAAAACAGCAGTCGTGAGGATAAACACGAGTGTCCATTCGGGCGCAGTAGTATCGAACTGACGAAGATGCTGTGTGAGATTCTCAAAGTCGGAGAACTCCGTGAGTGTCTTTTTATTTACAGTACCAATGACATGTGCCAGATGTCTTTGAGTTTCTTTATTGAAATAATCATGTTTGTCATTGTTTTGTCTTTATTCCACACATGTTGAGACTGAACATTTGCATGCAGTGAAGATAAAAGGCAACATTAGACTTTATAATTGTAGAAGAGTTCATCATTTAATGAAGTAAAGAGCATAGTGTTTGCCCTCTTCCAGTGTCTGAGCTTTTAAGACTTGCTTTTATGTCTCAAGTTGAGGCTGCAACAACTGACGATGTCTGACCTGAGCTAATGCATGAGGATTGAGACTCAAAGCAGGACACTCTTGAGTTATTTCAACCTTTCACATAGAGGAAAGAGTAAAGGAAAGTGGCAGAGAGAGAGCGAGAGAGATGATATATGGAGGTGAGCGTTCCACTTATCGATTCATGTATACGCATTTTCGTGTGGTTCAAGCGCAAGAAGCGGCATAAGAGAATGAAATGTGGGTCTCTAATAGAAAATTAAAAGTAAATCCACTCACTGTTTTATTTTGATAAGATTTCTGCCCCCACATCCGTAAATTCTACCTCGGGGCTGGTATAAGACACAGAGTCTCCTTTTTATCCTTCTCTGGAGCGGCTGAGGAATCACAAAGAACTGTAAATCCGTTGCTATATTCAGTCACGCACCATTTAATGTGGCAGAGTTGGAGTGATCCATCACATTTATTAAGCACAATATTGAGAGAGTAATGAGCAGCCAGCAAAGCATTTTATTGTTTAAAAACTCCATTTGGTATTCTGGTTCAAGTTCGCAGAATAGAGGTTATTAGCACAACCTCACTGACAGCTTTTAGGCATTATTGAGCGGTAAGTTTATTCTCGGTGGAGATTGCTCCACCATCCTGTCATCAGAAACTTAATTAACAGAACTTGCTGAGAAAGCTTAATGTAACTCCTCATTTAAAAAGTAATGCATGTCTTTTAAAGCCAGGGCTGTGGGGGAGAACACTGCGGTTTTAACTAGGAGAAGACTTTTAGTCAGTTTTAGTAAGTTTCCATTTGGCAGATACTTTTATTCCAAGTATTTTACAGACTTTAGACAGGGTAGATGCATTGTTTGAGTTGACGTGATGATAGAATGGCTTGTTTTGATGTTTGTGAACGTTAAAGGGGCGCATATCTTTAACCACAATGCCATACTACTCGCTATATTCTTCTCATTTGAAGTTTTATACAAATAGCAGATACTTATTTTGATGCATATGATTCACTTTCCTATCTTCAGAAGTGATGGGCCAGTTTGTGCACTCGTCAATCCGAGAGGTTTAAGCCATGTTACACCTTTGAAAGCTTTGGAGACCCCAATGGTGTTGCAGATGATTGCTCATTTTATGTTAATTAGAGTTTCCTTACACTTGTTTGAGCTTTTAGGCTATCATGATTTCCCATTAATTCTGCTGACATGGTTCACTGTTGCGGGCAAACAATTCTTCCTGAAAAATCTCTCAATACCCTGTCAATTTGACCCGGCTGGTGATAGATTTTTTTTTTTTTTTAAGTGGCATTTCCCACACATCACATTTAAATATGTTTTATCTAGCTGTGGTATAAGAGTTTCTGTTCGACCGGCACTTCCTTCAGCAGTCATGAATTATTTATCAGGAATCCAGGTGTCCCTGCTTCACCTCCTCTCAGAGAATGTTGAAAGTTTTATAGCTGTCCATGTTTTTTCCTGCAAAAGCTTTAATGGAATCTGTGGTGGTCAGGCGCCATGCAATGGCTTCCTATTTCAGCCTTTAAAAAGGCGTATCTAATATTTACGAGGAGAATCAAAATGGCTACTGGCAGAAATGTCCTTGCTTATGGATTTATGGTGTTATTCACGACGAGAGAGTTTCCACCTTATGACTGAACTAACTTACTAATGATGGCTCAGAACTGTGAATAACTATAGAGTTGAACTATTGAAAACTGTGTATAGTAAATATATGCAAACTTTGTCAATGGACATCTTAAAAAAATCTATTTAACATACCAATTACAGTAAACCATAAACATAGCAAAAATGTCTGGTGAATGCTGTTTTAACATCTCACTGGGGTTGTTTTAGGAATATTGATGTTGAGCAAAGGCCCTAAAAATGTAATTTTACATTTATCTAAAGCCAATGTGAGTTGAATTTTTGAAATGTAAACAATGGACCAAACTCCTAATCCTAAATATGAGGAATGATAATAATGATTCTTAGATCTATGATTTATAATCAATCTAATATATGTTCAAATAAAACGTTTGGGCTTGGTAGGATCTTTTTTGTGTGTGCGTTCACTTAGGCTACATTTATTTGATTGGAAATACAAAAAAGAAAAACGGTAATATTGCAAAATCTTATTATAATTTAAAATAGCTGTTTTCTACTTTAATATATTTTTAGCACACATATTTTTGAAAGAACTAAGTGTTTTAGCTAAGAATAAACTGAAAGAGTTACACAGTGTAGCTTTAATCATTCTAATATGCTGATTTGGCAGTGAAGAAATATTTATTATCAATTTTGAAAACGGTTGTGCTAGTTTCCATTATATATTCCCCCCACATTAATGCATCTTTGTTGCAAATACACATTTAATGCATCTTTGCTGAAGAAAAGTTTTTATTTCTTTAAAATACCTTTATAATCTACCTTTGAATAGAGATATGTATATACGACTTTGTATAAATGTATAAATATCAGAAAGAAATTGGGTAAAACATTTTAAAAAAAATCAAATAATAGTAAAATAAAAAGTTAAACATTATTACAGTTTTATTCTGCTTTCTAAGAGATTATACAATGATTATACTTATACTTATTATACTGCTTTCTTATGATTATACAATGATTATATCACAATGAGCAAGTCACAGTCAGATCACCTGCGTTTGATTTTATTAATACAGCCACAAGCATCAGTGATCCTCAGCTCCCTGCAGATAAAGTGTGGGTTAACAGCATCAGGAATAGGCTTGTCTGTAACTGTCCGTATTATCTCTCACCTCCAAGATGATGTTCTTGACACCCCTGCTGCTCAATCATGAGCCCCCTACTGAGATATGGCACACTTTTAAGATGGGCACATGGTGCCGTGCCTGGGCAAGCCTGTGTAATGCCTGAGGCTTCAACTTTAGGTCTGTGGATGAAACCAAACCGCTCTTCTGTTCAGCTCTAGTTGCTACCAAAATACAGCGGAAGAAAATATACAATAGGTAAAAAAGTGCTCCTTTCTGCGTATTGACATGGAGCTCCCGCATGTCTTGTTAACCACTGAAGTGTATTTGTTTAGTGGGAAATGTTCTCCTAGGAACATCTTCTGCTTCAGTACTCACCGAGGCTCGTTTTTTTTCTCCTCTGTTCAGAAGTTAGGGGATATGGATGTCGGTATTATTGACAGGCCGTGCTATTGGAGGACTTGAGTTTAACTTCAGCTGCACGCGGTAATAAGACCGCTCATGGCACAATTGCTGACTAAAATACATGCAGTGTGGGCAACATGGAGTGAACGATGGACGCTAGAGTGCTAAGTAGAGTTAAATAGAAATGTACACTGCCTTTGAAGTGATCCCTGCGGCTGATTCATATTATAAGGTCCCATTAGCAGCTCAAAGAATCATTTGCATGCCGTATTTTATCTAGTTGAAGTCAAGAATAGTCGAAAACAGGGGTCTTGATTCTTTTTGAGGCCGAAGACCACTTCGTGAATGGAGAGCTGGTGCAGTGAACCCATTGTGTTGGGTGTTGCTTTGTAAGCCTGGCCTATAATAATTTGTAGTACCATATCAGTGCATTTACATACTTGGTTTTGATGTTTACATTGCAGAGCCATTAGAATATCAATGATGTGCATTTGAACGTTAATTAATTCATTGTAATGTGGAAGGGTTAATGAAAAACATTTATTTGTGTATGCTTTTTGAATGATTCTTATTATAAAGTTACCTTAAAAGCATAGTTAATCCAAAAAAAATGTTATTCTTTCATTTTTTTTATCACTTTCATGTTGTTTTCAACACATTCTCATCCTTTGGTGTCATAGGTGACGCCATATGACGTTTCGTTGAAATACTACGCACATGGCACCCTTTAGCGTCAATACAACACGCATTGTTATGGGTAGGTTTAGGTCTGGGGTAGGGTCTGTGTCTCATATTGACGCTAAAGGGTGCTATGTGCGTAGTATTTCGACAAAATGTCATATAAATCATAAAGGATGAGAACGGGCTTGTTGTTTTAAACCTGTATTATATGTATGTATTATTTAATGGAACACACAAGAAGATTTATTTAAAAAATGTTTTTTTCCATATAGTGAATGTTAGTGGACCCCCCCCCCCCAAAAGAACATTGAATCGAGAAAAAAAAGACACAATGATTATGCTGTACAAACTTTATATTTTATACCCTAACCCTACCCATAAACTCAACCCTCACAGAAAACTTTCTGCATTTTTACATATAAATCATACTAAATTATGTTTTTTTTGAATAAGCAGGTTTCTTTATTGGGACCAAAACATGTGTAATATGTGGTTCAGGTATTTCCTACATTTTGTTCCATGAGGATAGTAAAGAAATCTTTGACCTTGACTAAATGTAGATAATGCCTGAACCACATATCACACTCTCAAACACTCGCACAATTTTTTAATACTTTTAAAAATCAAAACTTTCAAAATATCTATAAAGTCTTACTTGTTTACCATTTGAACCATTTGTATTGAATTAATTTTGATTTAAATCCAGCAATAATAGGTTAACCCCCTGCATTAATTCTGTAGATTTCCTGTAGAGTTAAAACTTAAAGTTTTCCAATCTTGGAGACACCAGTTGGATGGTTAATTTCTGAACACTGTAATGTCAGACTGCTGGGAGGTCTTTTCAGGATAGAATGAATGGATAATAATGGATAAAATAAAAATACAAAACAGCTGTGCCATTGGTGTGGTCAAGTTTTCTCATGCAAAATAGATGAGTGAAC